TGAATTATCTATCTTAACCACTTAATTTGATTAAGAGCATGCTAAAAAAGTATATGGAGAAGAATTAATTTCTATATTATATTTTAATTTAGATTAAATAAAAATAGTAAATATGGTTGAATATCCAAAAATATCAGAAATATTAGCAGATACTGGTTCAATTATATCTTGGATTCTTTCAATTTCATTTATTGTTTCAAAATATAATGAAAACTTAAGTTTAGAAAAAACTTAAAGAGAAATAATAACAATGTATTATAATGATTTTAATGATTTTTAAATTTAAAAGAATTGTTTAGGTAAAGTCTAAAGGGTAAACTATAAAGGAAAAGAATATGATCTTTAAAAATCTGAAGAAATTCTTAATCGATTAGATCGAATTGCAATTGAAAAAATGAATTATTTGAATTTATAAAATGAAGTAGCTAAGTAATTATTATTTAATTCTATTCTAGATTATAATTAATCTTATAAGAACATTTAGGATTATAACAAATTAAAAAATATTTAGAATCGAAATTTACATTAGAATCTCTATTTGATAAATTAGGAATACCTGAAAAAATTTCCTAATAAGAAATCAATTAAATTGTAATTATCTTTTCATTTTTTAAGCATGCTTAACATAAGTTGTAATAAGATAGAATTTAATAATTTAATATATAAGTAGCGTCTGATTCAAAAACTAATAAATAGATTGTAGAGTAGGAAGTAGAATTAAGGATAGGGCTTCTAGATATAAAATCCCATGAATATGGTTAGGTTAGAGAGCAGAATAGTAATTTGGATATTTAGGAATCCCTCTAACATATCAATAATTATTAAACAGTCATCAATGTTGATAAGACTGATGGGATTAAGTGATTTAAAAAAAATTAAATTATTATAAACAACAAAAATAATTTAATTAAGAAATCGTTATCTATTGACTTTTTATGAATTTAGTGATATTTTATTTCTTTTCTGCCTCTAATTGAAAATTTTATTCAGTCTAAAATTATAACACCAAAAATATTTTTCAAATTGAATAAACCATCTAAATATTTTTGTTTTATTTTAAAAATAATACATAATCAGAGATCTGTTTATTCTAAAAATATGGATTTCAATAAAATTTAATAAGAAGTAAAAATAAATTAAAATACAGATCAAGAAGGGAAAATGAATTTATAAATATTATTCTAATGATAAAATTTCATTCATTACGATTCATGCTTTCTCTTATCAATCTCTACTATAGAAGACCATTAAATGAAATATTAATGGCTTTTAATAGTGAATTAGAAACTGTGAATCTTATGAATAAGTTGAGCCTTTTTTTTGTTTCCATAATTAAATTTCAGGAGCAAAACATGACTAATTATAAATTCATGATGATTACAAACAGCTGATGCCTCCAGTTTTGAAGGATTTTAAATAAAACTTGAGATAAAAGTTGAAGAAATAGAAATTTATTCGATGTTCCTTCAACATATTAAGATAGTAAAAATGATAGATACTTATTACAAAAAATGAATATATTTATTTTAACTTAACATATTGAGGGTTATTTTTTTTATCTTGACTGGCCAGCTTTGAAGGTCTCTTATTCAATCTTAAATGCTAAATTTTAAATTAAAACTATAAGAGAAAAACACTTAATTTCCTCAAGAATTAGCAACTCATCAACAGTTCAAGAAGTAACTAATCTGAGATAAGTTATTTATAAATATAATTTATATAACTGAGTATATATAAATAATATTTTTAATAAAAAATTTTGATTAATTTAGCATTTTTTAAAAAGTATTACTATTTGTTAAAAATCAAACAATAAATTAGAAGAACTTAATTAAAATTCTTTGCCGTAATATCTTTTTATTGCCTGATCTTCCCATTTAATTTTCTTTCAAGGGATCCAACCTGTAGAAACCAAGACGATCTGGTTATTTCTAGAACAATTTTATTCATTTCATCACAATTATAATAAATGAATATTACAGCATCAATTACTGATGATTTAGAAGGCATCTGCCATAGGGAATATAAGGAAAAAGATTTTTAGAAAAATAATTCCCAATAATATTAAAACGATTTTCAAATTTATTTTAATTTTCCCTATACCCACAATATGATCCAGTAATAAATCAATAAATTCTTAAAATTTGATGGTATTAAATTAGTGAAAATCCAAATTTTAATAATTATTTATAGTTTTATAAATAATTTCAATTCCACTTAATTTATTTTCTTTATTGTTTAATCTACACACTTTTTTTTATGAACTAAATCTCATTTTATATAAATTTATTATTCAAAGGAACTGGCAATTTTCGAGAAAGAGACAATTAAAAAAAATGTTAAACTCAAATTAATTTAATTCAATTATTCATTATGTCACTGTACGTTAGCTACTCCAGTTCTAAGTATTGTAAAATTGTTATTTGTTTAATCTTCTATCAAAATTTTATAGACTATAAAAAATATAAATATATAAACAAAAGCATATGAATAGATAATTATGATTATTAAATAAAACTTAATCAATACATATTAAAAAATGTTCTACTTTTTATAATCAATTGATCAATTTGGAGTTTAGTAGAAACTGTAAATTCCACCAATCAATCCCACTTAAAAAAGTGCTTTAGGTGGATTGGTAACATTAACATTGTATGGTGTAAGCTTAGGATATTTTCTATTTCAATTTGTTGATTGGCAATAAAACAACAAACTTCCAAAAGTAACATCGCTAAATTAACAGATCAATAATGATTAAACATTGAAATTTTAAGGAGTATTTGCTGAAATAAGCTACTTCTAAGAATTATCAAATTAAATAGATCCTTTTGATCCATAAAATATGATATTACAACCATAATTAATTATTACAACTAGTTATTTTGAGGTAAAGCTATATTAATCTCTAGGAAACTACTATCAATGCAACTTTCTAATATAGGAAAAGATAAGATGGTAAAACTGTAAATACTCTCTTGATTGAAGATATTGAAATTAAAAATTCACCAATAGGTACACTAGACCATAAATATATAAACTATCAATTATCATTTGGATATTGCAATCCATAGCTACTTTAAAATGGATAAAATTGTGCTGATTAAAACTTAATCAATTAATTTTTTTTATAAGACAACTACTATTAGATATTGATATATTTAGAACAATTTGATCCAAAAAGTAAACAAATTGTTAAAATTCCAAGAGAATTCATTATTGAAATGATTAAAAAATCCCTCTTTTTTAATTAATTTATGTTAAAAGCAGGAGATTTAATAATGGATGATGGATTTTTATTTCCAAACTCTAATAAATAAAGTTACTTTTCTGAATTATCTATCTTAACCACTTAATTTGATTAAGAGCATGCTAAAAAAGTATATGGAGAAGAATTAATTTCTATATTATATTTTAATTTAGATTAAATAAAAATAGTAAATATGGTTGAATATCCAAAAATATCAGAAATATTAGCAGATACTGGTTCAATTATATCTTGGATTCTTTCAATTTCATTTATTGTTTCAAAATATAATGAAAACTTAAGTTTAGAAAAAACTTAAAGAGAAATAATAACAATGTATTATAATGATTTTAATGATTTTTAAATTTAAAAGAATTGTTTAGGTAAAGTCTAAAGGGTAAACTATAAAGGAAAAGAATATGATCTTTAAAAATCTGAAGAAATTCTTAATCGATTAGATCGAATTGCAATTGAAAAAATGAATTATTTGAATTTATAAAATGAAGTAGCTAAGTAATTATTATTTAATTCTATTCTAGATTATAATTAATCTTATAAGAACATTTAGGATTATAACAAATTAAAAAATATTTAGAATCGAAATTTACATTAGAATCTCTATTTGATAAATTAGGAATACCTGAAAAAATTTCCTAATAAGAAATCAATTAAATTGTAATTATCTTTTCATTTTTTAAGCATGCTTAACATAAGTTGTAATAAGATAGAATTTAATAATTTAATATATAAGTAGCGTCTGATTCAAAAACTAATAAATAGATTGTAGAGTAGGAAGTAGAATTAAGGATAGGGCTTCTAGATATAAAATCCCATGAATATGGTTAGGTTAGAGAGCAGAATAGTAATTTGGATATTTAGGAATCCCTCTAACATATCAATAATTATTAAACAGTCATCAATGTTGATAAGACTGATGGGATTAAGTGATTTAAAAAAAATTAAATTATTATAAACAACAAAAATAATTTAATTAAGAAATCGTTATCTATTGACTTTTTATGAATTTAGTGATATTTTATTTCTTTTCTGCCTCTAATTGAAAATTTTATTCAGTCTAAAATTATAACACCAAAAATATTTTTCAAATTGAATAAACCATCTAAATATTTTTGTTTTATTTTAAAAATAATACATAATCAGAGATCTGTTTATTCTAAAAATATGGATTTCAATAAAATTTAATAAGAAGTAAAAATAAATTAAAATACAGATCAAGAAGGGAAAATGAATTTATAAATATTATTCTAATGATAAAATTTCATTCATTACGATTCATGCTTTCTCTTATCAATCTCTACTATAGAAGACCATTAAATGAAATATTAATGGCTTTTAATAGTGAATTAGAAACTGTGAATCTTATGAATAAGTTGAGCCTTTTTTTTGTTTCCATAATTAAATTTCAGGAGCAAAACATGACTAATTATAAATTCATGATGATTACAAACAGCTGATGCCTCCAGTTTTGAAGGATTTTAAATAAAACTTGAGATAAAAGTTGAAGAAATAGAAATTTATTCGATGTTCCTTCAACATATTAAGATAGTAAAAATGATAGATACTTATTACAAAAAATGAATATATTTATTTT